AATTCTCATCTGCAAATTTTTTTATTAGTTTTTTTGTTTTTACTACAAGTATACAAAACTTGACAGAAATCTGTGAAAACGTGTTTGTATTTACAGAAACAGGTGAAGTCAATTGTGAGCGACTGGACAGGCATGCTGTGCTGGTTTCAGAGGTCAGGAAGGACAGGAAGTCATGTTGAGGACTGAGAGGCAGGCTGGGGAAAAAAAAACAAGATTAATGTCAGACATTCAATGAACAGCGAGTAAAGATTTAAAGATTCTAACTTACAGACTTTACTTTATTGCAAGATATTCATTTAGCTCAAGACAATGACACCACTGTTACAGCAGTTCCAATAAATAAATGCTTTATTCTAAACTGAGGGGAGAAATTAAAGGAACAACATTTTACCACCTCAGGTTACACCAAGCTAACCTTTAAAGCTACACRTAGGATCGCACAAAACAAAGCATCAAGATCTTTTCTAGAACTGGGGTCAGACTAAACGCCAATAAAGATGTAGAGAAATRGTTTGCAGAAACTAAACCTGAAAAGACAGAACTCAACGCCAACTATTRMCGATGTCCCGTCGCCATTCAGTAATACAACTGTTAGCATTTTTGTCGTGATCATCACAGGCCGTCATTATTAAAAAGTCATCTCAAAAGGTGAACAGACACATGGGGGGGGTTAGAGTGATCTTGTCAAACTTCTACACAAATGTTGAGCAGGTCTCGTTTATGATGCGTATAAAATGTGGTTCAGATCGGATCAAGTGATTCATGATTCAATTATTTGTGGCAAAATGAAATAATATTGATCTATATCGTCAACATATGCCCACCTAACAGTCATTGTTAAATAGGCCACCCCCCACAAAAAAGTAAAAATAAAAAAATTGGACTGTATTCCTGTAGTGAGGTGGATTAGGATCAACCATAGTAAATTCGGTGCAAATTGGCTGAAATGTGTGAAATTAAGAACTAGGGGTGTAAGAAAATATCGATACACTGAAATATCGCGATTTCATTTCCCGATACTGTATCGATATTCTAAAGCCCTGTATCGA